ACGCGTTTTGCGCTTCTTGCACATCACGCTCTGCACTTGTTTAGCGCGATAATAAACGGCGTTGTTCCTCAAAATTGCGCATCGCGAAATTATGGCAACACCCCGTAATAACTGTAACAGTAACTGGTAATGTTTCCCCACAACCCAAAAAAAAAATCATCAACTTGGATTTAATTAAATTTCTATTAAACGTGCTTCAATTTTCTACGGAACGATTTAAACAAGTAAAGAGTAATTTTAAAGCATTATGAACGATTTATAAGAAGCAGAACGTGCCGGGTCGGCTGCAATTTTTCTTTGGGGGGACAAAAGCGTAAAAAAATCAATTTTGAACCCACTTATCGGACTATCCGGCGCGTCGCTTTCAGAATCGCCATAAATAATGCCATTATGTTACTGAATATAGATTGTTGGTAAATATTGTGCTTCTATTATTAGTTCTAAGTGCAGTTGTGTGTTGAAGCGGCCACTGCCGGTGTGATGGTGGTTGGCGTTATTGGGGGTGGCATGCGAGTTTGTATTTTGGATTACAATATCGCTCAGGTAATACTCGTATACAAAATATGAATTTGTGCGCGTGTGTGTACGTATACTCCACAATGGCGGCCGGCATTTCCTGCTCGTATTGTATAATTGGCTGCTCATGCACGCGTACACTCTCTGCAATAATGTCAAACTAAGCCGATGAATAGACGGGGTGGTAATTTTGCTATCGTATTGTTTGTGGTTTGCATGACTAACATAAAATTACCAAACGTTGGTAAATTAAAAGTATATTAATACAATTTATGCTCAATAGAGGGCAGAATTGTTGAAAATTTAATTCCAAATTGTTTTGGATGTTTATTTATGTCATTAGGAAATTATATCAATGATAAAGTAATAATATTGATGAAATTTTGATTTCTGAGCAAAGCAATAGATTAAATGAAGTTCTGAATAATTTATTAATGATTCCAACTTGCAATTCGAGGAAATTCCAAATAATTGTCCATAATTCGCTTCTTTCAACAACTCACACACCATACAACCGCAATCAATCGATACAGACAATAGGGGAGCACTCCTAATGCCAACGTTCGGTCGTTTGCACGCGGAACAAAAAGGGCAAAAAGTTCCCAGTTTCCTATGCATAGAAAAACGATCACCCAACGCACACACACATGATTGTGGCACTCAACCGTGCGCACACCGCGCATGCATCGTTCAATCCATCGGGAAAATTACGCTCCACTTCGAGGCGTAACACACAAAGGAAAACCACGGAATTATCGAATTAAATGACACGCGTGCCACGTGCCGGCCGACGACCCACGTCGCTTACCAGTGCGTTTCGATCTCGTTTTTTGTTTACGCGTTTTTGCATGTCATTACCGACCCGCCGTGAAATGCGTTCATGCGCGAAAGGGTTGCTGCAACCCTGTCGGACGCTTTGCTTTTCAATATCGTTGCTTGGAATCGGTTCAAAATGGCCACATCACGATTTATACACTCTATGTTATGATATTGACTGTTGAGATATCTTGGTACAACTTTCGTAGGCAACTGTTTAAGCACTTTTAGTTTGTGAATGTGGTTCAAGTTCAAGTCCGCTCTGCGCAATCATTATTGCATTGCACTATTGCATCGGCTATTAAATTGCATAAATTACGGCGCGCGCCGGCACCGGTGGTAATGAAATGGTGTGTTAATTAAACGCAGACGAGGTCCGTCCAAACCCAACGCGACACCGAAACGGCGGTTAATTGTCATTTTATAGTGTCGTTAAATGTTGCTAGTGTATGGCGATGCAATGTGACGTTTAAGCTTCTGTAAAGTAGGCAACTTGTACGACATAAATTATTTGCGGGTCAGGATCATCATTGGTTGCCTGTACTGTACCTATACTAGTAAAAAATAAAATAAAATACTTTTGTTTGTATTTGTAGCAAATTTAAAACAGATAACTTGGTTTACGATGTGTAGTACGCCTCTATTTACGGAGGCCTGGAACACACCGCCACGCGGAAACAAAACGAAAAGGGGGCCGGCGTGTTGGTGGTGGTGGTGCGGTAGTGGCGGTGGCGACGTACGTGCATTGCCGGCTCCGCTGCAAACCAGGGTTGGGTGAACGACCGAGAGCGACCCAGACCGACGGCGGCAGGAATCGATCCTTACTCCCTTCCTACTCGAGTGCAGGTGGCGGCGGCGGTGGCAGTGGAGGGGTTCCGCGAGTCCGGAGGGTGGCAGCAGCCGGCGGGAGGACGAGACGAATGCACCCGGCCGGCGAGGGATGATGCCAGCGTGCGCATTGCCGGATAACCCGGCCGGCGGATTTTCCAACGATTTTCCGAGGGGATGTTGCCACCGCTGCCGCCTGCATTCGTGTTTTTGCAACGTCTGGCTACGACTTTATTTAATACTTTAATATATGCGCACATCAAACGGTAAAATTGAAACTCTGAAACACTAATTTAAATTTCTCCTCCCTACGAACGCGCTGTTTCATTATTCTCTGTTTTTTACACCTTTTGTTTTATTTCGCGTGGAGCATCTTATTTCCGTAATTTCGACTGCTTGTTAGCTTTCTTCTTTAGTCAGAGGGATTTGCTGAGCTTCGATTTTTTTGCTTTTTTTGTTTGATCTATTCATTCGTATTTCTCGCACGAGTTTCTCGTTTTGTTTACATATAATTACAAGAGGTGCGCAAATTTCAAATCAAATTCGTCAAAAAATTGCTACGTTTGACTAAAAATAAATTTTGCTAATTGCATCATCATTTTTTGAAAATTTATTTCAATACTTAAATAAATCACCCTGAAATTTACTCAGGTTAAGTTTGGACAGTTAATTAATAATTTGTTTTACTTCCAATGCGTGCACATTTAATCTAATTCAAATGCGTTAACATTGGCCAACATGCTAATGAAGATCGACGCAACGTCTGCCCGAATGACAAACGGGGAATAACAGAGTGTTAAGGTACCAAAGCACCGGCAGAGCGTAGATTACATTAGTCAGGTTGGCACGTACACTCGGAAGTTAAGTGTATCTATGATGCCGGGGTCCTACAGGGTAGTTGTAGTTGGTGTCGGTGACGTTATCATGCATTTTGTATGTCGTCCCATCGCCCTGCAGCGCGCTATATCATATTATATTGCGATGCACATCCGCATATCGCGTCGGGTTGGAAATGGGGGGTGGTGGACTGCAGACGGCAGGGGGCGGGCATGCACCACCACCACGCCAGACCAGACGCTTGCGGGAAATTGGAAAACCGCCGGCGTCGGCTGCGATTGCGAGTGCGAGTGCAGCAGTGTTTGGCCCCGAACCAGACTACCCTAGACTAGACTAGACCAGACGGGGGTAGAGCTGCATACGCTGCACCATGCCGCCGCCGCCGCCGGAACCCCGACCCGGGTGAACAGCGACCGAGCGAACTACCGAACTGGCCGGGTGAGGAGACAGGCAAAACGAGCAAAAACCCGACACGACTCGACTCGCCTCGAAACTCGACCTTTACTCGTTTCATAAGTCACGAGGAAAATTGATACCGTAAAAAGGCGCATCGTAAAAGCATCCTTGAACCGTTTTTATATATCAAAATATTTCACCTCCGCCACAATAACAAAATATTGATTCCGAGTTGATTAAATTCAGCAACAAATCAAACTGATACAGATGCGGAATTTCGTTCAAGGAGACTGCAATGGCCGCCATTTTGTGCAATGTGCACCATTCCAACACAAGTCTATTGATGTATCTAGATACATACATACATTTCAAAACGGGGCATTTACATTTACATGGGATGGGTATTTGTTGGTGTTTTTGCGCGATCCCTTGCGAGCTGGCGGCGGACGTGCTGGAATGGGTATTACCACATTCAGCATTCATGTGTGCGCCCGCCCGGACGTCCAAATGTTAACCCAACAGCAAAACATTGTGCGCTCAACATCCGACTGCAAGCCTCCAGTATGTCCACCACCCCATCATTGAATTGACGTTATGATTTATTTATGCGTGGCGAGTTAATACTAAAAACCGGGTGCACTCCGGAATGATTTGATTTGTAACTGGATAAAATTGCATTTTTGCAAAACATTTTAATTTTACTAAAATGCCCTATTTCGTTGGCGAGTTGAATCTTTTTTTTATTCCATACAATATATTTCTGTTGGCATGATAACTTATCATTTTTTTAACACCCTCGGCGTTTTCATGCATTGTTAATGAAACCATTTTGATTTTGTACGCTACGCAGCACTCGCTGAATGGCGCATCATTTAAATGATGCGTCAAGCCGCGCAATTCGCCACAAGCCGATTTGCCGCGCGGATATTTTTCAACAAAGTTGAAACTTGGGTTTTTTAACTTTCAAATGATTTGTTTCATATTTTTCTTATTTTTAGCATTAGCAGAAGGTAATTTGCTGTATCTTATAAAATTTTTGATTTTTTCTTGTTTTGGTGAGTGTTTTCACTATTTGTGAAAAAAAAACAGTTTTTCCGCGTGGAAACACACTCGCAGTGAAGCAGGATGTGCCATGTATCAAATTTCCTACACGAATATAAACCACACGATTTGTTTGCATGTAATATGCATGCGTAACAGAATTTAGCGTGTTTTCACACTTGTCTAAGCCAAAATACAAAATTCGCATGATGCATGTAGTGGAAGAACATATTCCGCTACGTTGCATGTTTTCCATTTTTTGGCAAGTAATTGCAAGGATTTTTGGTAGCAACTTTCAAGTATCAATAGTTCAACGTAATTTGGGCGTATATGTAGTAGTAGTAGTAGTAGTAGTGGAAACGTTACAGGTCACATTATATGTTACAGCCGAGCTTTCAAATCTATTTGCTAGAAGGTACACTCAGTGGCATAGACTTTCCGAATAGGCACCTACCTAAAGAAATGACAACGCCGAGAGGGCGATGTCCAAAAAGGTTTTGTCTGCTAATATACGCGCGCGCTTCGCACGTCCCCCCGGCTATAAATAGGCCATCCAAAGGATGTGAAACATTTCTACGACACCGTCGAATTGTTAGGAAGACCTGGGCGCTATTATAGTACGTGCTCTAGGAACGCTCCAACTGTTTGCTCGCAAAGGTGTAACTAATACCGTTTCTCCAACAAAAATCCAAGTCAAAGATTGCCCCCGGTAACATTCCGTTTATATTTTTGCTTGCTTGTCCAATTAAAAAATTCAATTTGTTCGTTATCAAAGCTCCAAGCATAAAGTGCATTTTATGGTAATTTTCAGCTCCTGACTGCTGACGTTTTGCATCGCACTGTGGGCGTATTATTGGGGACCTGAGGTGCATTATGAGGAGAGGGAATCGTCCGGGCTACGAAATAGGGGGAAACGATAATGGCATTCTCGAGTCTCGTTTCGAGTGGCGTTCTCGGCTGCCGCCACCGCCCAGCAACGCGGAGGGAAATAGAAATATAGATTTAACGTTTGGGAAATGGGCATAACAGACACCCCGGAAGCCGTAACAGATTATTACCGAAATTTATATCAGAACCGATGCCTGGGGCTTTTTGCGGAAGCTCACAATGTTTTGCAATTTATCTTTTACGTGTGCACGTCAATTAGAAGGGATTAATCTTATCTGACTGTGACGGGCAGGTGACACTATTCCATCAAATATTTACTCAACTTATGCTTAGTTGTCAGTGAAATTATGGCAACATTTAAATTTAAGCTTTGTCAGTTCGGTCATAATTTTTGTTGCTGTTTCAATAACTAGAAAATGTTTTGTATGAAATTAAAAAGTATGAGCACAAGTCATGGACAAATTAACTTTTAATACATTTTGATCACTTTACAGATATTGTGTCACTATTGTTTCGTAAAAATCCAGATCTTAGTATTCGAGAACAACATGCGGGTGCGGGTAAACAAAAAACGGAATATATCACGCTAACAAAATTCATAATGGCCGAACAAAAGAAGATTCCACATGCAACTGGAGATTTTACACAACTACTTAACAGTCTGCAGACTGTGGTGAAAATTGTGGACATTGCAGTTAGGAAAGCTGGTATCACTCAATTGTATGTAAATTACAAATTGTTCTTCTTTTTTTCTTTCGTTACTTTCTTCTAATCCAACTTATTCTTTTCCTAACCTAACTTTCTATCCTTATAACCTTTATTTAAGGTTTGGTTTGCATGGAACTACTAATTTTCACGGACAACTCCTAAGGAAACTCGATGTCCTCTCCAACGAACTTTTCATTAATATGTTATCATCTTCTTATACTGTTGGAGCTATGGTCTCCGAAGAAAACGAGAAAATTATTGAGGCAATAGATAAACATTTCAAATCTAAATTACATAAATAATTTCGTTTTTCTTAAACATAGGTAGCTCCGGAAACTCGTGGAAAGTATTTAGTTTGTTTCGATCCTTTGGACGGCGCTTCCAACTTGGACTGTTTAGCATCAATTGGTTCCACGTTTGGAATTTACAAATTGGAACACAACGATAATCCCACAGTGAATGACTTCCTACTCCCAGGAAGAAGATTGGTCTCAGCAGGTTATGCGCTGTACGGCAGCGCTACAGCAATTGTACTTTGTAGTGGTAGTGGTGTCAATGGCTTCATGCTGGATCACTCAATCGGGGAATTCCTACTCACTGATCCTAACATGAAGATTCCGAAAAAGGGTCGTTTTTATTCGGTTAATGAGGGACACAGGGCTTCTTGGCAGGAAGCAGTCAAGCAGTATGTGGACTCAAAGAAGGATCCTTCGAAAAACAAGCCGTGTTCGTTAAGATACGTTGGAAGTCTGGTTCCTGACATACACAGGACCCTGAAATTTGGGGGAATATTTATACATCCAACTACAGAAAAATCACCAGCAGGAAAGGTAGGTTTGATTTTTTAATCATGAGATTAATATGATTCAATGGTGTAACTTTCATATTTTGTTTTGTTTTGACAGTTGCGGCTTCTTTATGAATGCAATCCAATGGCGTTCATCGTGGAACACGCTGGAGGCGCAGCTACAGATGGATATAATCCAATTTTGGACCTTGTTCCGGATCAAATTCACCATCGGACACCATTTTTCATTGGATCTCAAGAAGATGTGAGCGAACTAATACAAACATTTAAGCAATTCCAACCAAAGCAGTAACTTTCAATACTACTAGAGACCTCTATTTAGAGCTGGCAACTGCAACCGTAGCAGTGAGTAGAATTCTATGTTATTGAAATGGTTTATATTAAAATATTACGCAGCAAATCATAAAGCAAATTTAATTAATAATCGACGATTTTCTATGTAATCTCGAACATTAAATCAAAATTACGCGTATTGTCCGCATTTATCAGTAATAAATTAGGCAATGAATGAAGGAAAGGGGCCCGGCTGGTAACAGGCGATCTCATTGGTTGTTTTGCTGCTTATCTAACAACAAATATGTTTGCGCGCCGCTCGAAACGTGTTTGTGACGTATATTAACGACATACTCTAATCTGCGTGCCTTTAACCTTCCCACAATGCCCGCGTTGAATAAATGTGTTCACCGCAAGCCGCGGCTCCCTAGTTGCCCGCCGTGTGTCGCGGAGTTAGTTGTTAAATCGTGGTCGTTTGTAATAGAACCGCACGATGGCATCGGGTCAACAATTCGATTCGGATTGCATCACGCTAACGCGATTCGTGCTCGCCGAACAGAAGAAATGTCCATCGGCTACCGGCGATCTCTCACAATTGCTAAACAGTCTTCAGACGGCGGTTAAGGTTGTCAGTTGCGCGGTACGCAAAGCCGGTATCACTCAATTGTAAGTACAAACTGGTAGTATCTGTAAGTGTAAGAAGTCATCAGCAAATTCTGATAAGACATAGCAGAATATTATTCATATATTGCTTAGATTATATAAGTAATGTAAAATGTGTTGAATGTTCAACATGTCTAAATTTGCTGATGTCTGCAGTTTTGTTTATGGTGGAAAGTAGGAAAGTTAGGCAATGTCACAACGCGCGACTTTGTAATTTTCTACATGTGCAAGGTAACATTGAAAAGTCCTCTGTGACCTGGTCAAAGTCTTTAAATGCATGGAAATTTTACGATCGTTCAAGTATACAATTACCACTGTCATGTCACGTTTTGTTTCAACGTATATTGATATACATCGTATTAGATTTCTGTTATCATTTTTGCTGTTGGAGACTTTTATTTGTTTTGCCTCGTTAATTGTATAAAATGAGTCAAAATTATGTGAAAGAAATTGAATATAAAATTCCAGGCGTATGGAATTTTACAGACAAAATATTTGATAATTACCAAATTGATAAAGTAGCTATATACAAGTTGATGTCATCAAGTTTGTGAAAGTTGTTTGGATTTTTGATTATCGAATTTGGAATAGTGTAAATCCGCATATCATTAATTTTTTGTTTGTGTGTAGATTCGGCACTGTTGGGGAAACAAATGTTCAAGGTGAAGAAGTTAAGAAGTTGGACATTTTGGCCAATGAGTTGTTTATTAACATGCTCACGTCTTCCTATACGACCGCCATTTTGGTATCAGAAGAAAACGAACAAATTATTCAGGTATTCGCCACTAACAACAAATTTATTAAATTTAGTTTTTTACGGATGTTTTATTCCAGATTGAAACCGAAAAACAAGGAAAATACATCGTATGCTTTGATCCATTGGATGGTTCATCCAACATTGATTGCCTTGTGTCCATCGGTTCTATTTTTGCAATTTATCGCAAGGATTCCGACACACCGCCATGCGTCCAAGATGTTCTCCAACCGGGTAGGAAGCTGGTAGCAGCCGGTTATGCTCTTTACGGCAGCGCAACCATGATGGTTTTATCAACCGGAAATGGTGTCAATGGTTTCATGCTGGATCCATCCGTGGGCGAGTTTATTTTGACCGAACCAAACATGACCGTACCTAAAAAGGGGAAAATTTATTCTCTTAACGAGGGCTACCAGTACATCTGGGACGATGCCATCAAAGAGTACGTTCAAGCGAAGAAGGATCCGAGCAAGGGCAAACCGTACGGTGCTAGATACGTGGGTAGTATGGTGGCCGATGTGCACAGGACAATTAAATATGGCGGCATCTTTTTGTACCCAGCCACTAGTGCTTCTCCGAAAGGAAAGGTGTGTATTTCTAATGATCTGCAAATATATTTTCTCTACTTCCACCTTTAAATCACCACTTTTTCCACGGTTTTGTGCCCCGATGATTTAAAATGTAAAAGTTTAAATATATAAACATAAACGTAGATATAGAGTGAAAATAGAAAAAATATTGTAAGCGTCTACAATCAATCTCGTGATTAAAGTGCCGTTTAGCTCACTTGATAATTAATATATTATTTCAGCTTCGCCTTCTCTACGAATGCATTCCAATGGCCTATTTGATGGAACAAGCTGGCGGATCTGCTTCTAATGGTAAAATACCCATTTTGGACATAATTCCAGAAGGCATTCATCAGCGGTCTCCAATTTTCCTTGGATCAAAGGACGACGTCGATGAAGTGCTTTCCTACATTAAAAAGTATACATGAATTTATTTAGGGAAAAACCCCAAAACAGATTATTATAAACTGATGATTTGAATCGATTTAATTTTATCAACACATAATTTTGGCAATGTGTGTAAACATTCAAATCTCCAATTGATTACAATTGCAATTTTTCTCTAATGGTGGTATGCGTTGTTGGCTCCTCAATTGTGAGTCAAAGTTATATTATATTTCTGTTAATTTAGTTTGTAAATGAATCCGAATATATTTTAATAATGAAATAATGTATATCTAAAATAGCAACAGTTTCCTGTGCAGGTTTAAACTTAGGTTTCTTGACGTCATTCTGATAGACCTCAGTCCTTAAGTTCTTCTCAGGTCTGGTGATTATCTGCACTGAAAAACTAGATTATGTTTTTTGTTTATTATTGCTTCTCTCTGGAAACTTGGGAAAACGTATTACCAGCACACATTTTTAATTTTAATCGTTACAATCTTTCATTAGTTTGAATACTCTAAATTCCGGACTCCTACCTATACAATTCAGAGATGGCACTAGCATGGACTAAAAATCATAAAATAGAATTGTATTGTTTATTTCTATATTTTTCAGCAAACGTGGTCATTTGTCACGAGAAATGTGTTTGTTTTGAACACAATTTACTTTCTTATCGCATTCCCGTGTTCGTCGTTGCAATCACCTCACGCTGCACGTTGCCGCTTCTTTGCATCTTTAGTTTTGATCGCAGGTAACGTGTCAAATGCTATTCGCGCCCAAGGTCGAGTGCTATCGTCGCGAAGGCTTTGCGCATCTCTTGCTTTCTTATCACAAACTGTCGCGTCGTTGCTTGCTCGGCTACAGCATGCGCTATCGATGGCTTGCAGGCAGTCTTGTGCCGGTCACTGCTTGATCCAGGCGTGTTCATACCAACTTGCTTTGTTTGTTTGGACTTCTGCTTTCTAAATTTTCAATATATTTCAATATATCCATTGATTAATTGTGTATACTAGAGTAATGTTATTTACTACTTGCGCGTTTAATGTACATTATTGCACAAAAGTGGTAGATATTTGTTCGCGTTTCGTGTGCATACTAGTGCAAGTTATATGGTTTGGTGTCGGTCGCTAAATGAATCTGGTACAGAATGGCGGCCCCCCATATAGATTTGTTCATCATTATTCCTGGGTAAGTAACTTTTTATTCAATAACACATTTTATAATTTTTCTCTGATGTATGAATATACCATTCTTAAATCGTATGAAATATTTCAACTTCTTTTCTTTTAATTTCAGCACTTGCTGTGCTCTGGTAACTGGACACAAATTTATTGCCTCACAACGTACCTCAAATTGACCGCCACACTTTGCTCTTTTTTCGTTTTTTCAAAACTTTCGGTTGAAAACGGGTCATTTATGGAGAATCCATCATGATATTTTTATTTTTATTTCTGCATCTTTACCTCTAACATTTAGCCTCTAATCAGGTCAAGTTATATTGAGTATCCATTTTTATTTCTACACTTTTACCTATCTGTATACAGATCAGTGGTTGTGGGTCAGTTATTTTTGGTTGTAGCATGAATTGCCATATATTTATTGTTTGTTTACTATAATAAACATAATTTATTTGCATATAATTCGTATTGGGGCACGTGGTCTTATGGTGTCACTAGGCGTATGTGATAGAATATTGTTTTTATTGTGCTAGAATAGGAGCACAGTGATTTTTGCCGGTTGTTTTTAATTCGATTTCGCACGCAGAATTCCTCACTCGCTTATCAGTATTTGTTTGTGTATAAACAAGTTTTCATGTCGCATTTAGGTATATCATATAACTTCAGCGCGGCATCTAAAGATGCGAACTTAAATTCTCCGTCGAGTGGTATTTGTTTGTTGCAGGAATTCGACTTGCAATCCGCGAAAATTTGCATATAAGTGTAACTTTGCAACCCTTTTTCGTGAAATGTTTTTGTTTTTTCGGGTTTACACGCGATCTAGGCCGCGCAGTAATTATACCTTGGCGTCTAGAGATGCGGAATTAAATTCTACGTCGGGTGGTATTTAATTGTTGCAGGAATTCGACCTGTAACCCCCGGAAATTTGCATATAAGTGTAATTTTTCAACCCTTTTACGTGAAATGTTTTTGTTTTTTCGGGTTTACACGCGATCTAGGCCGCGCAGTAACTATACCTTGGCGTCTAGAGATGCGGAATGAAATTCTGCGTCAGGTGGTATTTAACTGTTGCAGGAATTCGACCTGTAACCCCCGAAAATTTGCATATAAGTATAATTTTTCAACCCTTTTACGTGAAATGTTTGGGTTTTTTCGGGTTTACGCGCGATCTAGGCCGCGTATTAACTTCGACGGGTCGTCTGAAGATGCGGAATTAAATTCTGCGTCAGGTGGTATTTAATTGTTGCAGGAATTCGATCTGTAACCTTCGAAAATTTGCATATAAGTATAATTTTTCAACCCTTTTACGTGAAATGTTTGTGTTTTTTCAAGTTTACGCGCGATCTAGGCCGCGTATTAACTTCACCGGGGCGTTTAAAGATGCGGAATTAAATTCTGCGTCGGGTGGTATTTAATTGTTGCAGGAATTCGACCTGTAACCCCCGGAAATTTGCATATAAGTGTAATTTTTCAACCCTTTTACGTGGAATGTTTGTGTCTTTTCGGGTTTACGCGCAATCTAGGCCGGGTATTAACTTCAGCGAGGCGTCTAGAAATGCGGAATTAAATTCAGCGTCGGGTGGTATTTAATTGTTGCAGGAATTCGACCTGTAACCCCCGAAAATTTGCATATAAGTATAATTTTTCAACCCTTTTACGTGAAATGTTTGTGTTTTTTCGGGTTTACGCGCGATCTAGGCCGCGTATTAACTTCGCCGGGTCGTCTGAAGATGCGGAATTAAATTCTGCGTCGGGTGGTATTTAACTGTTGCAGTAATTTGACCTGTAACCCTCGAAAATTTGCATATAAGTATAATTTTTCAACCCTTTTACGTGAAATGTTTGTGTTTTTTCGGGTTTACGCGCGATCTAGGCCGCGTATTAACTTCAGCGGGGCGTTTAAGGATGCGGAATTAAATTCTGCGTCGGGTGGTATTTAATTGTTGCAGGAATTCGACCTGTAACCCCCGAAAATTTGCATATAAGTATAATTTTTCAACCCTTTTACGTGAAATGTTTGTGTTTTTTCGGGTTTACGCGCGATCTAGGCCGCGTATTAACTTCAGCGGGGCGTCTGATGATGCGGAATTAAATTCTGCGTCGGGTGGTATTTAACTGTTGCAGTAATTTGACCTGTAACCCTCGAAAATTTGCATATAAGTATAATTTTACAACCCTTTTTCGTGAAATGTTTGTGTTTTTTCGGGTTTACGCGCGATCTAGGCGGCGTATTAACTTCAGCGAGGCGTCTAAAGATGCGGAATTAAATTCTGCGTCAGGTGGTATTTAATTGTTGCAGGAATTCGACCTGTAACCCCCGGAAATTTGCATATAAGTATAATTTTTCAACCCTTTTTCGTGAAATGTTTGTGTTTTTTCGGGTTTACGCGCGATCTAGGCCGCGTATTAACTTCAGCGAGGCGTTTAAAGATGCGGAATTAAATTCTGCGTCAGGTGGTATTTAATTGTTGCAGGAATTCGACCTGTAACCTTCGAAAATTTGCATATAAGTATAATTTTTCAGCCCTTTTACGTGAAATGTTTGTGTTTTTTCAAGTTTACGCGCGATCTAGGCCGCGTATTAACTTCAGCGGGGCGTTTAAGGATGCGGAATTAAATTCTGCGTCGGGTGGTATTTAATTGTTCCAGGAATTCGACCTGTAACCTCCGAAAATTTGCATATAAGTATAATTTTTCAACCCTTTTACGTGAAATGTTTGTGTTTTTTCGGGTTTACGCGCGATCTAGGCCGCGTATTAACTTCGCCGGGGCGTCTGAAGATGCGGAATTAAATTCTGCGTCGGGTAGTATTTAACTGTTGCAGTAATTTGACCTGTAACCCTCGAAAATTTGCATATAAGTATAATTTTTCAACCCTTTTACGTGAAATGTTTGTGTTTTTTCGGGTTTACGCGCAATCTAGGCAGCGTATTAACTTCAGCGGGTCGTCTAAAGATGCGGAATTAAATTCTGCGTCGGGTGGTATTTAATTGTTGCAGGAATTCGACCTGTAACCACCGGAAATTTGCATATAAATGTAATTTTTCAACCCTTTTACGTGAAATGTTTGTGGTTTTTCGGGTTTACGCGCAATCTAGGCCGCGTATTAACTTCACCTTGACGTCTAGATATGCAATTAGACAATATGCAATTAGACAATACATACTATATGTATGTAGGTATCTTTAATTTGACTTTAATTTAAAGTAGGTAAGTGATTTTCGCGGTTGTTTTGAAACTTTTTATTGCGATTGAGTTGGCCTTCCTGCATGCGACCTTGTTCATTGCAAATAGTGCTAGTTTTATTGCGGCGTGCGCGCAGAATTATCGCGTGTTGTTGTTCGTCGTTACTGATTGCGCAGTTTTGTGCCGGTCGTTGGTTGGGTCAGTCTTGTGTTTTGCGGCGGTGATTATTTTATTTTAAGTTTGTAATTCGGTAAATCGCATTTTTTTTGTTTGTTCATCGACAACATTTAACTATTACTAACGTGTTTAGTGTTTTATTACAAAATCGTTAATTTTCTTTGCGTTCGTTGGGCGTATTGCAAGGTGGCAGCGTGCTATCAACTTTGTTTACACTGCACGTTCGCGAGATACAGGTAGTATGCAACGTCTTGTAGCGTTTGTTGTGATATTATTTGAACAAAGATTTGAAATATGGACAATGTTCGGCGTGGAAGCCGAGAAAGAACGGTAAAGGGCAGACTTTCTTTATTTTAATTAACCTATTCGCGCATGCATTGGTCTACAATTCACACGCGTGGGTCTTTGCTTAGGTCGGGTTGGAACAATATCTTGTTATTGTTGTGAACATGTTTATCTGAACGTTTCTAGTATTACTGTATTTAAATGTGATTTAAATATAGTGTTTTTAGTATTGTATTGTAGTTGTTTGTGTTTTAAGTTGTTTGCTTGCACTTTGTGTTGTGTGTTTAAATTAGTATAAATAAACAACGTTGATGCCTGTTTAAGAGCACTTTTGCCAAGGAGTCTACCGCGCAGTCTCTCCGTCGCAGAAATGTTAGAGATGCGCGTTTTACAAGGCAAGTTTTATTTTCAGGAGATTTAAGAGCTAGCTGTCTATGATTTTCGATTTTAATTAAATGTATGTAGTTTTTAATGTTGCTAATAAAACATAATGTAATATTATATACTTCTTCACATTTCTTTCTGGTTTCCCCTTTGCCGTTTGCAGGATTGGTGTCTTAAACCATATTCCATATAAATCTTAAGTGCGTCGAGCGTGTACAATACGAGTACATAGCTGTTGTTTGTGTTGTGTTATTGTTTTTAAAAAGTTGAATAAAGTAGAATCATAAATAGAAGATTCAAATAACAATGATAAAATCACTCGGTGGTCGAGTGGATACGTGCACCTGCTGGCATGCTAGTAGACACGGATCGAATCTCAGGTGTAGGAGGCATTTTTCTCAAATATAAAAATAACAGGTGTAATTTGGGTTGCATATGTAAACTCAAATAAAATATAAGAGAAATTGCAATACAAGCAAAGGCAATATGAGAAGTAAGAAAGTAGAGTGGAGAAACGGAGAACGGAGAAATAGGAGATGTGGAAGAAGAAATAGAAGAGTAGAAGACAGAAGGAAGAGAACAGAGTAGAGAAGAGGAGGAGATAGAAGAAAGAGCAACAGGGGGAGGTCAGATTTTTAAATTTTTTGGCACGTGTCGTTATAAGACAGTCTACGCTGCCCACTGCCCACTGCTTCGATCCGTCCATTGCTCCCGGCCCATCCTACAGCTACGAAGTCTCTGCGCTTCATCCCCGGAATTATCAGGCATATCAACAATTTTTATGGTGGGGGATCATCCCCAGAGAGAGGGAACTCCTTATAAGGACATCCTTTTAAGAACTTGTAAAAATATTTCTAATTTTTAAGTCGCCTCAAGAGAGGGGACACTTAAAAATATTCTTACAGGTTCTGACCTGTAGCTGAAATGAAAGATGGAGTACACAAATCATACAGGATACCTTAACAATTTCTGTAGTGGGGATCATCCCCTGAGTGGGAGAACTCCCTATAAGGACTTGTAGATATATTTCCAAGTGTCGTCTCTTTTAGAACCGACCACAACACTGAGAAATACTTTACAAGTTGTGACCTGAACCTGAAATGATAGAAGGAAGAGGTGCACAAGTCATAAGACACAGCCATTGCCTTTAACATTTCTTTATTAACAAATTACATACAATACAAGTTCGGAACTTGCAAGTTCAATACCTACAGAAGACATGACGTCATTTTAAAACATGTTTATGACCTGCATAGCCGCGCTATGCTAACGGCTGCGAAATTACAAAAGATAACAAATAACAAATTGCGCCTTGTATTTGTATGTTATCATTGGAAAATTATATACACGGTGTTATCAAAAGAAAATCTTCAATTAAAAAAGAAAATCACTCCAAATCAATAAAGATATCTCATTTTTCACTGAACATAAAGGATAATTTATATACAAGGTGTTATCATAAGGAAATTTTCGATTCAAAAAAAAAATCACCCAAAAACAATATAGATTGCTCATTTTTCACTGGACATTAAAGAAAATTTATATACAGGGTGATACAAAAAGAAAATCAAAAATACAAGTGTTATTAACTGTTTCCTCCTGGATATTTAGAAGTGATATGTGCGGGGAGGGAAACATAATAAATAATACATTTACTAATAATTATAATTCTATATGACATCTTTTAAAGCAATACTAACACAAACATTTCAGGAAAAAGGGTTGAAAAATTACTCTTATTTGCAAATTTTCGCGGGTTGCAGGTCGTATTCCTGCAACAATTAAATACCACCCGACGGAAAATTTAATTCTGCATCTCTATACGCCACGCTGGAGTTACTACGCCGCCTAGATCGCGTGCAAACCCGAAAAAAAGTAGAGAAGGTAGGATGATTTATATACAACTTTTTTATAAAAACAAAACACCATAATGAATTTTATTGCATATTGAGATTTTCTTTGCGACGCGGTCTCCTGATACGGCCTAACCAACGTGCTAACCAACGGCACAATACACGATTTGCGTTAAGATATTGATATCGCTTTTAAACGCGTCAACGCGAATACAGTATTTTGAATGCAAAAGAACAATAAGAGCTGAGAATAACAGTGAAAACCACATTCTCAGGCAAAATCGATAACGCAGCCGACGGCATGCGACAATTTTGACTTACGAGTATTACGGTACTCTCGTTGCACGCGACTAAAGACATCGATGTGATAATGATGTAATAATATTTTTCAACTTACCGGGGCAAAGGGTAATCATAGGAAGCACTGAAACAGAAAAAAACACGTGTTAGATTACGAAGTGTGCTGCGCCACACAATTAAGTCTACACGTCGGATAATGTCTTGTATCATACGCAATATTTTAACCGACAAACGCACAAATATAAATCCATCGTTTCACGCACAAATCATTATAAGCATAACACTAAATAGTCTATTATCATTACGTGTCGGTATTTATGTAGATAATTAACGTTAAAATGCAATTTATAGAAATGCAATGAAAGAAAGGTTAGAAGTCGTGTGCAAATAAGAACAAACTGAAACGCTCGAATGTTCGTCGCACGAACGCAGCGTGGAACTGGTTCAAAGCGATAAGAAAGTTGTTTATACACAAACAGCAATACACGCGTAGAGTGGAAGAAGAAACATTCAGGTATGTAGGTGTAATACAATATATATATATAATGTTGAAAAGACATAAAATCCGGCATCCAGAGTGGGTGCGTGCCGGCAACACAATTTTTCACGGTAAAACTATGACCCAATTTCCACGAAGAAACTTAAAAAAAAAATTAAAAATAGTTAAATTTGCAGAGCGATTTTAAGGAAATACTACCGTTACTTTTATACGGTGCCCTAAACCCGAGTCACTTCTACCGTTAGCTTCATAAGGTGCTCTGAATGGGAGTCAATTCTACCGCTACTTTCATACGGTGCCTTGACCACGAGTCACTTCTACCGCTAGCTTCGTAAGGCGCCCTGAACACGAGTCACTTCCACTACTAACAAATACAACCTGCCGGAGTAATTCCAAAATCTCTCGACGCCTCGTTAAAGTTACTACGCCGCCTAGATCGCGTGCAAACCCGTAACAACACAAACATTTCACGAAAAAGGGTTGAAAAATTACACTTATATGCAATTTTACGCGCGTTGCAAGTCAAATTCCTGCAACAATTAAATACTACCCGACGGAGAATTTAATTCTGCATCTCTACACGTCCGGCTGAAGTTACTAGATCGCGTGCAAACCCGAAAAATACAAACGTTTCACGAAAAAGGGTTGAAAAATTACACTTATATGTAAATTTTCGCGGGTTGCAGGTCGAATTCCTGCAACAATTAAATACCACCCGACGGAGAATTTAATTCCGCATGTCTAGACGCCCCGCTGAAGTTATTTCGCCGCCCAGATCCCGTGCAAACCCGAAAAAAACAAACATTTCCCGAAAAAGGGTTGAAAAATGACACTTATATGCAAATTTTCGCGGGTTGCAGCTTGAATTCCTGCAACAATTAAATACCATCCGACCAAGAATTTAATTCTGCATATCTGGACGCCCAGCTGAAATTACTACGCCGCTTAAATTGCGTGCAAACTCGAAAAAACACAAACATTTCACAAAAAAGGGTTGAAAAATTACACTTATAAGCAGATTTTCGCGGGTTGCAGCTTGAATTCCTGCAACAATTAAATACCACCCGACGGAGAATTTAATTCCGCATCACTAGACGCCCAGCTGAAGTTATTTTGCCGCCCAGATCCCGTGCAAACTCGAAAAAACACAAACATTTCACGAAAAAAGGTTAAAAACTTACACTTATATACCAATTTTCGGGGGTTACAGGTCGAATTCCTGCAACAATTAAATACCACCCAACGGAGAATTTAATTCCGCATCTCTAGACGCCCCGCTAAAGTTACTACCCCGTCTAGATCGCGTGCAAACCCAAAAAAACACAAACATTTCACGAAAAAGGGTTGAAAAATTACTTTTATAAGCAAATTTTCGCGTGTTTCAGTTAGAATTTCTGCAACAATTAAATACCACCCGACGGAGAATTAAATTCCGCATCTCTATACGCCCCGCTACTGTTACTACGCCGCCTAGAGCGCGTGCAAACCCGAAAAACACAAACATTTCACGAAAAAGGGTTGAAAAATGACACTTATAGGCAAATTTTCGCGGGTTGCAGGTCGAATTCCTGCAACAATTAAATACCACCCGACGGAGAATTTAATTCCGCATCACTAGACGCCCAGCTGAAGTTATTTCGCCGCCCAGATCCCGTGCAAACTCGAAAAAAACACAAACATTTCACGAAAAAAGGTTAAAAACTTACACTTATATACCAATTTTCGCGGGTTGTAGGCCGAATTCCTGCAACAATTAAATACCACCCGACGGAGAATTTAATTCCGCATCACTAGACGCCCAGCTGAAGTATTTCGTAGCCCAAATCCCGTGCAAACTCGAAAAAACACAAACATTTCACGAAAAAAGGTTAAAAACTTACACTTATATACTAATTTTCGGGGGTTACAGGTCGAATTCCTGCAACAATTAAATACCACCCGACGGAGAATTTAATTCTCGCCCTATTTGAATTTGGCATGTAATTAAACAAACTTTATTTTTTCGATTTTTAACTTGTCAATTCATGAAATGCACTTATAATTAATGTTTGCACTTAAAAATACAGAACTGAACTTAAAAATAAATATTTGCACTTTGAAAAATGAATTCCACTTGAATAAAATGCTTTGCACTATGAAATTAATACTTTGCACTTATAAAACTTGCAGTATTAAGTACGTGCCGTACTCTTAGCCGGCCCCTTCTATCACCCCCCACCCCACCGCCCCTCAAATAATACCAAACAAGGTAGCCTACCTAACCACCACCCCCAACCCCCAACCGCCAACCACCTCCTCCCCAACCACCCCACAAATAATACCAAACAAGGTAGCCTACCTAACCACCACCCCCCCCCCCCTACCGCCCCACAAATAATACCAAACAAGGTAGCTTACCTTACCACCACCCCCCAACTCCCCGACTACCCCTCACCACTACCCCCGACTGCCCCACAAATAATACCAAACAAGGTAGCCTACCTAACCACCACCCCCCACCCCCGACCACCCCTCACCACTACCCCCGACCGCCCCACAAATAATACCAAACAAGGTACCCTACCTAACCACCACAAATTATAAAGTTTCAATTTAAAAAGTTGATTCAAAGCAAATTTAAGCTTAAACCTGAATATATAAGTGCATTGTATTAAAATATAAGTTATACAATCTATAGTGCATAATATGAATTTCTTAGTGCAAAGTATGAAAACTTAAGTGCGGCTGTTCAAGTGGATTGTATTTTAACTAAAGTGCATTTAATATATCCCCTTTGAATTTCCACGATGAAACTTTAAAATAATTAAAAAATACGTGCAAATACCTTAAATGGTCCCCGAGATATGACCCAATTTCCACCGCAAGTCTTGCAAAAATCGAAGAATGCGCCAACGTTTGCGGTCATTTTGAGATACGTAATGAGGCAATGAATTTGTCGCGTAAATTAAAATGAAATATATAATTGAATTAAAAACTTACGAATTGTGGGCATCAGTGATCAAGGCACAGCAAGTGCTGAAATTAAAAGAAAAGAAGTTGAAACATTTCATATGATTTAACAATAATATATTCATACATAATAAAAAATACGATGTGTGTTGTTGAATTAAAAGTTACTTACACATGGATAATGATGAATAAATCTACATTGGGGCCATCCTATATCCGTTTCATTCCGAGACCGACACCGAACCTTGTAACTTGCATAAGTATGCATACGACACGCAATCAAATATGTTCCACTTTTGTACAATAATGTAAATTAAATTGTCGATTGATGATCCAATAAAGTGCAAATTTAGACAGCAGAAGTCCAAACGAACTATTCGAATCGCGCAAAACTCGTCTAAACCTACGAGCGAGCGGTACGAAACTGGCTGCAAACCATTGATAGCGCATGCCGTAGCCGAGCAAACAACGACGCGACAATCAACAATAAGAAAGTAAGAGATGCGCAAATCTGGTGCGTCGATGGCAAGCGACCTTGTGCGCGAATGGCAATAGGCATAATACATGTGATCTAAACTAAGCTAGAATATGCTGCACGCGGTGTGAGGAGATTGCAACGACAACACTCGTGAATCTCATGCAATGCATTCCACGCGGCGAAAGCGATAAAAAGTAAATTTTGTTCAAAATAAACATAATTCATGTGCCGAATATCCACGATTGCCGATAAATATAGAAATAAACAATACAATTCATGCCAGTGACATCTCTGTATGATATAGGTAGTAATCCAGTAATTTAGATTATAAAAATTAATGAAAGATTTTACAAAAAATCTGGGGAAAACACGAAAAATCTCTCCTATTTGCACTTTTAGCGACAATTTTTTAACTTAATATATTTTATTGTCTTGTTCTATAAAAAAAATTACAGAACAATTTATTTAAAAAGCAATAAAAAAGTTTTATAATCTACGAAGGTGGTGGTAGAAGTGACTCCATTCTCTATTAGCTTAGCTAGTTAAATTGAAAATCTAAGAGATGAAATAATTCATAAGGACAAATGGGAACTAAAAGTTTTACGTCTACAATTATTTTTGATTTTAGGAATAATTTGAATAAATACCAAGCCAATTTACTTTCCACGCTTCATATTCGTCAAAACACCCACGAAACATTAAATATTTGCGGATATCCGAACGCGGACGCAGAGAATAGGGCAATTAGCACTGAACACCAAATATAACACGCGTGATTCACGGAATTAAAAATCTCAAGAAATGTTGCGAATCAAGAGAATGAACCGCACGCCAGTCAACCGGCGATAAGACTGGAATCCGCGTAATGTAAACACTGCGAGCGGCGTAGAATAGCAACAACAACAAATCAACCGTCATTTGGTAGTTTTGCTTGGAAAATAGTGCGGGATTGTTGAAAATTGGTATTCATATAGATTTCGAGGTGCTCTTTACGAATTTCAACTTTGCCACCTTGTATCTTGTTCGCTCGAGCCACCATCTTGGAAAAATGGTGTCAAAAATTAGTTTTTTGACCATATCTCCTTTCCGACTCAATTTACGATAAATATATCTATATAATAAATTAAACTAGAGAAAATTTCCTATAATTTATGTAAGTACCTTTTTCTTGTAAAATTAATAGTTTTAGCGTACGGGCGCCGCAAAATCTACTTCAACATTAATTTTTGCCAAAAACTCATTTCCACCCCACCATGAGGTAGAGTACGTGGCGCGTTTGTTTTTTTATCTTGGTATCCCCAGTAGGCCTAATCCTAATTTTTGCATTTGCAAGATATTAGTTTTAACAATGTTTCGGGAGCTGGGGGCTCAAGTGTGATGACAGGAATTAGCCCATTCTTTTTTCTTTTCCATCCCCATTGTTCTGCATTTAGTTCATTCCCATACTACTACATAACTTGGTGATAAGTTCTGAACGAATGTTATCGGCCTGCGGCTTCAGTTGGTGGTAGCGATGCAATATTAAATTTATTTTTGTATGCTGATTTTGTGAAGCTGGCATATCTATAGATGTTTGAAGACATAGTTTGCATAGTTACATAGTCATAGTTTGCATAGAATGTTGGGCACGTGGATCGCAGTTGTGGTTGAAAAGTCGTGACAACACTTCCTTTTTTAAACGCAATGATTAGTTTCTCATTATTATATTGTTTCCGACATATCTCGTGAACAACTACCGATCTCAATCCCTCTAAAAGTTTACCCTTATTATCCTTTCTTTTAATGCTTGACTTACGAAAGGTTTCCAATCCTTTTTCTTTCACTTCAATCACTTCACTATCTTGCAATGGAGTTTTACAAATAAAACAATTTACGTTATCAACCATGGCATCAAAACTGCAAACAACACGACTATTCAGAACAATAAATATCAAATAATGACTCAATGAAGAAATAATAAAACAAAAGTAAACTCGGCCGGCGAAACTTTCAAACAAGCGAGGGAGAGCAGGAGCACCCTCAAATCATAGCAAGCAAAAATAGCAGTCATGATGACCTGGAAATGAGTTTTTGACAAAAACGAATGTTGAAGTAGACTTTGTGGCGCCCGTACGCTAAAACTATTAATTTTACAAGAAAAAGGTACTTACATAAATTATAGGAACTTTTCTCTAGTTTAATTTATTATATAGATATGTTTATCGTAAATAGAGTCGGAAAGGAGATATGGTCAAAAAACTGTTTTTTGACACCATTTTTCCAAGATGGTCGCTCGAGCGAACAAGATACGAGGTGGCAAAGTTGAAATTCGTAAAGAGCACCTCGAAATCTATATGAATACCAATTTTCAACAATCCCACACTATTTTCCAAGCAACCACATTTTTTAGCACCTGTACTACAAGTTCAATATTCTAATAGAATAAATGACACAATTAAATGCAACTAAATTTAATTATACTACTGTCGCAAAATGTATCAGAATCAAATTAATCGCAATTTTATAATTTTAATAATCCTGTTTCGCTTTTTAATGAAAAAAAAAATCGCGTGATCTCACACCGACACGATGTGCACATACTACCACAAACAAATCATCTTAATGCAAATAAATGCATCCTAGTGCCACCTCTGCCCGAATTATGGACCTATATTTAAATATGCTACTCATCTATATATAGGGTAAAACACCCAATCGTTGGCACTCCTCCAATTATTGGCACTTTATGTTTTAATTCGAAAAAACAAGGAAACCATAGATAATTCAAGTTTGATATGCATTAAATTGTACAATAGTATATTTTTTCTGTTCAAATTTGACTACACTGTTCCAATAACTAATATGGCGATTTAGATACAACAGCGGATATTTTGTGTTTGTGATTTGGTGTAGTTATTTTGTTTTTTTCTTAAGGTGAGACCTTTTTTAATCATTGTATATCGCAGCTATTCGGCTAATAGATACTTTTGAATTAATTTGATATGCTTAATTACACGTTTAGGCAATAGATTCAAAGAATATTTCCTGAATATATCTTTTATCACATTGATTTATTACATGTGCCAACATATGGATCAAGAATTTATCAAAATCCTATTCTTGGCACCCGTGCCAATAACTAAAAGCTAATTATTGGCAGTAGTGCCCACAATAGAATATTGAGTGCTAATATTGTTTTTTTTTATTCATTTAGATCATGATAATGATAGTCATATTAGAACTAACAAAAAGTTAACAATAACAGAAATTAACTTAATGTTACTTCTTGGTTCTAGAACACTGCGAACTAGGTAGGGTATAAAATAGGGATGTTGAGTATTTGTTTTTAAGTAGGTTCATTATCCGACTCATTAATATTTTGTTGGTGGTTAAGCATAAATGTTAAAAGATCTCAAGGATAGCCATTTAAGTACTGATAAAGTGAAACTAGTAGCTTGAATAAGAAAAAGTGTTTATGCTAGGCATAAAAATTGAATTACAAAATATTTTTATGCACATTTTAAATACCTACTATAAGATAGATTACTTATGTAATTAATAAAATATTGCTTTAATTATACGTTAAGTAAGTATTTTCAACTTTATTGATAGATAGGTACCTACATATCTCCTACTTGAACTACATGCCAATAATTAGACGAGTAGGGGCCAATATTGAGATTTTCTATGCCAATAATAGGATTTTCTGCAGTCTTTTGGATTTTGAGCATATGTTTATTTATTATTATTCAATCACTTATAAACTGTTATAAAAAACAAAGATTAAAGTATTTTCTTTGATTTTGTCACATGTTTTGTTTATTAACTAATGTAAATGGGATTTTATGACAATATAATTCCAGACTGACATGCAGTTCTCTCTTAGAGTGCCAATGATTGGGTACTTTACCCTATATAAAACAAAGTCGTGTTGGTTAACTCCATTATAACTAAAGAACGGCTAATCCAATTTAGCTAAAAATTGGTGGAGAGGTAGCTTAGGGCCAGGAGAAGGTAATAGGATACTTTTTGAAGTGAAAACTTTTCTAAAAGGGCACTAAACGACACTAAAAAGAGACAAACATATTTGCGTATATGGATTATCTTGCGGGAGAATAAGAGAACGCAAATACAAAGTTTTCTATTATCCCCGTCTCCTCTTTGTGCGATGCTTCGTAGCATAGACGTGTGTATGTGTGTACGTGTGGGTTGAAATTGACCGGTTGATGTTTTTGTTTGGAGAAGGTTACTAGGATACTTTTTGAAGTGAAAACTCCTTTAGAGAACACTAAACGACACTAAAAGGAAACAAACATATTCGCTTATATGGTTTAGCCTACGGGAGAAAAAGAGCACACAAATATAATGTTTTCTATTATCTCCGTCTCCCCTTTGTGCAATTCGTAGCTTCCCCCTAAGCATAGACGTGCAATTCGTCGCTTCCCCCTAAGCATAGACGTGCGATTCGTAGCGTCCCCCTAATCATAGACGTGCGTGGGTTTGTACGTGTTAGTTGAAGTTGCCCGGTTGATGTGTTTGTTTGAATAAGACTTAGTAAGTGTAGGATACTTTTTTAAATACTTTTTGAAGTGAAAACTTCTTTGGAAGATACTAAACGAGTTTTCTCCGTCTCTTCTTTGTGCGATGCTTCGTAGCTTCCCCACTCAATATGCAGCGACCAAAACGATCAAATCTTATCCGACAAAACCGTAATGCAACTAGGATTCGAAGGTTTGCGAATGAAAGCACTGAAGAATAACAAAAAATTGCACGTGAAAAGCGCCGTGTTAGTATGACTCGACTTTGTGCTTCTCAATCACAAGAGCAAAGCGAGGCGGAACAAAGTCTGCCAGGTCAGCTAGTACTCAATAAATTAAAAATAATACACGCAGTTTAATATGAGTGCGATCATTATATTCAACCAAAACGAAAAGGCTTAGAAACCAAAAAAAAAAACTTAATTGTCGCGTAAAATTAAATGATAAATTAATGAAAAATTAAAATTCGATTTGCGTAATTATGATTTCTTATGCGGACAGAGTGCCAGATTTAACATCAAATATTTAAGTGAGATCTGCTTAAGTGATCTGCTGATGATAAAAATGTTTTGCTGATGATGATTTTTATAATAAACTATTACACCTAATGTAAAATTGTAAGTTATATTCATGATTTGCGAATTGAAGAATACTTGCTTACATTTACGATGGCAATATAAACTACAACGATGTGATATCTGCAGGTAAACAAACTTTTCTCTTGTGCGAATTCGCATGGTCGCACACGGACACGGTGTGCACTCACTACCACCGACAAGCTATATTTAACGCAAAAACGTGCATTGTAGTGCCATCTAACCGTCTATTAAGCCCAAAGGGACCTCCTAAGGCAGCAACATGGTAGCAATATGCATCTGATTGACCTAGCGACCGACAACGTCACACAAAAGAAAAACAGAAAAACCTCAGCATTCTTGTAATTTGAAATATAAACATCAAAAACGAGCAAAAAAATAACATTGTTTAATTGGATATCTATATATACTTGATAATTTATTTCCACGATTTCCGACAGTGTCTATCTTCTAAACTAAAAGCGATATCAAGCAGAAAATTGTAGATTATGGAAGACTGGAAAATTCTCTATCAGATGAAAATATAAAATAATTATATTTCCTACAGTAAAAGGACGAAAAACGCGACTAAAAGTGCTAAAAAGTGACATTTTTCAATTTTTGACCATTTTATTCAATCGCGAATATCACGTAAACTAAAAGAGATAAATGGGTACAAATCGCAGAGACTATTCTACGGACTATTCTCTATAAGATAGGCTAGTTAAAACGGAAATCTGGAAGATGAAATTTTAATTCTTAAGAAAAAATTTAATATCTCTTAAACTAAAAGCGATAACTACCAACGAATTGCTGATTATGAGAGTTTGGAAAAATTTCTATAAGATAAGATCAAAAAATAAAATTCGGGGTGTAAAAGTTCTGAAATCCTATTTAAAAGTATTAAAAAGAACGATTTTTTACGAATTTTTTCGTTCGCGAATATCTCGTAAATGTATTGTAGGAAGAGAGGAACAGATGAAAATTATTAGTTTAGGGAAAATTGTCGATATGACAAAGTATGCTGTGCCTTAGCCATGCAAAGACAGTCGTGACAATTCATGATAAGAATACCTGCTGCCCAAATGCGTAAAGCCGGCGCAAGGATGGCACGCGACTTTGTACACAAATTCAATAGGCACGGAGCCCGCGAATAAACTAAACTAAAACACAAGCATAGCGAGGCGTGAGAGAATGACAACAACAACACACGGCAATTTTTGACGTTGCTATTCGCAAAGCAATAAAAAAGTATAAATTGTGTTCAAAACAAACACAATTCTCGTATCGAATGTCCACGTTTGCTGATAAATGTAGAAATAAACAATACAAGTCTACTTTACAATTTTAATTTCATGCTAGTGCTATTATGAATTATACAAGTAGTAGGCCCATAATTTAGATTAAGTATTGCAATTAAAGATAAATTAAAATTCGATTTATGTAATTCAAAATTAGTATGCTGAAGGTTTGCCCGATTTTACATCAAATATTTAAGTGATATAATAATTTTACAAAGATAAGAAGAACGAAAACATCAAATTTCCATTCTTACTTTTCCTACAGAAGGAACTTTGTCATTTGTAAACATTGCAGAAAAACAATAAAATGTAAAACTAAACTAAAATTTAGGTACACGGTAAACTCTTTCTATGAATAATAAAATTATTTTACTTACCAGTTATGTAAGACGGCAAATCGAAGACATGTTGGTATATACTGAAATAAATATGAAACAAAACATTAGTAGGTAACAGCATTTCGTGCCATGAATCGGAGTTCCGTCGGAACCCACGTTTTAAATTAAAATTTCTTTTAATCTCATAATAATGATAGAAATGACAATATTTACCAGGTAGCACATTAGTCCCTAATCATCAGCTGATGATAAAAGTATTTTTCACAAGACAATTAATTATTGGCGTTCACAAAATATCGGCGGCCGTCGTCCGACGGCAACGGACTCACAGACACGTGAATAAACTAAACACGCAAAATTTAGAATTACGAAGATTACACACGCGAGAAATAGTTGATAAAAGATTAAACATGTTTATTAACACCAATTATGACCAGCGAAAAGGAAATTAAACGCGATTTACCGAACTTATATCAATGAATAACACAAACCGAAAGTGTCGAATGTGTTCTCGTCGTTATCGCACCGTTGCAACAAAACAAAATTCACTCGCTTAAATATTTTTAGGTAAACCTGCATAGTCGCGCCATCTGAGGACACTTTTAGTACCTCACAAAAACACAAAGTGTTTCAAACAGTGTGGCGCGCATGTGAGGCAGTGCGGAATTGTCTATGAGTCAGTGAGGTGTCACGCACTTTGATGGTAGCGTCCATGTGACACACGTACGGAAAAGTGTGCGTGCACTACCCTGTCTAAACAAGTAGTAGTTTTATACAGAAATGCAATGAGTCAAATCTAGATGAGGCGTGATGTTCAAATTTAAATCTGCGTTTTACAAGTATGATTCCAATATTAAATCATAAATTGTATTGTATCAGCATTTCTCTTATAACAATTAAATACATCCTGCAATTTCTATTAATCGCAAAATGTATACTGGAAATACGTTTTCCCAAGCTTCCACAGAAAAGCAATAATTAATAAAAAATAATTACTTCATTGAATTACAACATTTCAATACATGCAGCAAAAGCTCCAAACTATAAAAAATTATTAATATTTGACGGTGTTTTGAAGTGAAAGTTCAGGTATACAACACACTATACACATAGTTATCAGAGAAGACAGGTTAAAACATTGCGCGTATGACATCAACTATGTCATCAACAGCTGGTATGTGCAGTTAACGCTAAAAGTAAACATTTCTACACAAGTAAATTAGAATTTAATCAAAATGGATATAACGATAGTATTTCGTGCGTGCATCAAAACGGTACGCACGATGAACAAAACAATTGAGGGCAAGGAGAAGGAAAGTAAATCAACATTACTACAAAACAGTAGGGATCCCAATTTGAAGAGTCCCAAAGAGATCATCAAACAAATATGCCAATTGCAGAAGTTTTTCGCAGACAATAAAATTGCTTACCTGAATGTAGTGAATTATCTATCAACCAAGAAGACAATGACGGAAATGGATAGAATGGAAATTGATACTGAAGCAGAAAAGATAATAAGCTTATGTACAACAATGATTCATGAGTACAGGAGCACAATTGGTAAGCAGAAACTCACACCTCAAGCTTATGAACACTATGATAATGTTATAAAGTCAGTGGAGAAATATTTGAAAAATGTTTCCAAAGTTTACACTGAAACGAAAGCAATTAGGGTGAAAAAAGTGATTGAAATGCACAAGATCTCCAAACTGGAGACAACCAATAAAAATGCAGTTGAAAGGGAATCACCAAAGTTACAAATGCCAAACACACCTGCCCAGGAACACAGCAAAGAGATTGTCAGTGATTTGTCAGCAGAAGAAATGCAAATGTTTGAAACAGAGAATGATATGCTCTACAATGAGCTGAATAGTTTATCCAGAGAGGTCAAGGAAATGGAGAGCAAAGTAGTACACATTGCAGAACTTCAAGATCAATTCACACACAATGTTCTCGAGCAGGAGAAGAATATTGATAGGATTGCAAATATAGTGCAAGCAACGACTGACGATATGCGCGATGCCAATGAACAAATTCGGCAGGCGATACAACGAAATGCCGGCCTACGCGTTTGGGTGCTATTTTTCTTGCTGGTGATGTCGTTTTCGTTAATATTTTTGGACTGGTACAATGATTAATATACATATTTGGGTTTTGTAAATAGATAATCATGTTTTTCAATTTGAACTTTGATTATTTACGCGGCAACAAGTTCAAGATGTACTTTGACTTGTAAAATAAATTTATTTTAACAAAACCGAAAGAAATCTTTGCGATTATCCTTCCAGAGAACATGTGAATATAATATATTTATGTATAGAATATAATTGTATAAAGAAACAACATTTCTTTGCACATCCTAGGAAATTGCAGGGCACAACTGCAGCAAATTCCGCACATCATCGCCTTAAACCTAAAATACATAAATTCGTTTCCTCGTTTTTCATTAGATAGTAATTTTGTTTTGACTAGGTTCAAGCTTAACAGGTCGCCGCAAGTCGATCAGATCAACAACTTTTTTGTTCACACACACGTATAGGGGTGCGCGCGCATGCGCACATGAAGTTTTGACTCGACGTCCAACCACGCAACTTCAATTTTTATTAAAACTATCAAATATCCGAACGACTCGCGCGTCTCTCGACAACAGTTAAATGGTAAGTCCTAACAACATAAAACAATTTGATACTGTACAAGTAATACCTATCTACATAAAATACAATATACTCTTGCTCTTTGCCGCCTTCCTCTTAAAAACAATATCATGATTATACTATTAGTGAAAATCATCATCACAAGTTGTTTTGTTGCTTAGTAAGTAATACTCGTATGTGTATGTGGGTGGTATGCGGACGTATGGACGTTCCCTAGCTTAACTTACGTCTTAAGTTAAGTCAAATAGCCTCTCTGCCGATTATAAGTTGATCGTGTCCAAATCCTGTATGGGCGCACGCCCGCTGCTGTTGCTTTCGTGCGACTGCGCCGACACCGGTGCCACGGCACTGGTCTTCACCTGATTGCTACCGCTCGAATGAATGATCTTACCCAAACCGGCGATGCTAAAGTCCGTATTGGGCAATTTGCGCATAATCTTGCCGGAGGTGATCAGCCGGCCAAAACCCTCCTGGTGAGCAAATGCATACCCGGAACGAATCGAACGCCGTGCGCGCCGCGCCGATGGAGTGCGCAACACATCCTGGCTCTGGCGAGTCCGCATCGTCTGCAAACGCTGCTTGAGGCGCACGCGGTCCGACAATGTCGGAAACACGTCCACGAAGTAAAAGCGCCACGCAAGCACGGGCATAATACAGATAATCACCACCAGGACAGTGGTGAACCAGAATGTTAGTTCCGACATCGCCATTGTAAGAGCCCCCACGTAGATGCCCCCAAGCAAGTAGTTGTAGAAGTAGTCCATGATGAAGTACACGGCCAGAGAGCCCCAAATCAACACGTGATTGACCACTGTCCAGTATTGTGTGTCGAGCGCAATCTGCGCCGTGTTTACAATCACCAAAATTGTAGCTACAACGCTGCAGAGGAGCATGTAGTCTGAGAGGCTCTGTCCAATCGGACTCATAGCATCAAAGTACGTACCTACAAAATCACTATAATTAGAAGTTTATTCTAAAACATTTTATCAATACTCACCAAAAGGAATGAAAAATAATACTATAGAAACATAGCAGCCTTGCAGAGCGCTACGAAAAAACTCCTTCTTGTTGAAGAATAAATTAATATGCCCTGGTCGATACAGCTGTGGATACAATATTGAATTTTTATCATTGACATCTTGATCAAAGATGCCAACGGCGAGCACTGGCTGCGAGGTGTAGAATAAATTGTAAACTGAGATGTACATCGGATCGAACACTGTCTGTGCACTAAAACCGCAGAAGAAAGCGTACCAGAAGTGACACAGCGTAAACGCAAAGTTCTTGTTGAAGAAATACCGCAGAAAACTGCACATTCGGTAATACGACCACCGGCCGTGCACCAGGAGCAGTCGCTCGAGGAAACGAAACTGCGCGATGGAGTAATCCGACGCGAGGACGGCCTGCATCCCCTCCTGACCGGAAATCCCAACACCAATGTGCGCCGCTTTAATCATCGACACATCGTTCGCACCGTCCCCGATCGCCAATGTCACAGCATGCTTATTCTTTTTAATCAGTTCCACGACTAGCGCTTTCTGTAATGGCGTCACCCTGCAGCAAATGACGCTGCGACAGCGTACCACTACCTCGAGGAACAACTGCTCCATTTTGGGGTGTAGACAGTGCACGAGTGAATGTCCATTGATGACGATTGCAAATGTCCCGTTGGTGCCATCGTCATCAGTCTTGAGATCTGGGGATCCTTCACGGTAGTCCAATTCAGTACTGAAGGTGACCACACTGACAGCGGGCGCTTGTGGCTGTGGTGGTGTAGATGTACCCATTGAATTCGGCCGGCTGTGGTCATCGGATACGCCGTTAGCTGCATTGTTGCTAGCCGGACTCATTGGATGGTACGCGTTTACTATTCGTATGCTTTCTTTGAATTTGCGTAGTTGTTGGTCCACTTCATCGAACGTTGACGCATCGACAATGAAAACGTCTAACATATCGTCGGTTAGCAATTGGCAAGAGTATCCTATATTTATTGCAGTTTCTATACGTTAAAATAAGTTTCATTAATTCATTAATTTTGATATCTTAATTAATGATGATTTTTACCTTGTTTATCGCCTGTAAGTACCCAAATTTTAATCCCAGCCAGCATAAGATTAGCTATAGCTTGAGGAACACCGTCCTGCAGTTTGTCCTCAATGGCAGTAACACCCAACAGTACCATTTCTGTTTCGATTTCCTCATAGATTGCATCCAACTTCTCGTCGCGATCTTGCATACTCAACGCAGCCTCCTGATGCCGTTGTTTCCAGTCGTTGAAAAAATCTTCATCCAAATCTCGACATGCCAAACACAAAGTTCTCAATCCTTCACCAGCGAATTTCTAACAATAAAAAAACATGTTAAACATTTTATTTACATAAATAACATAAAATAGATTACATTTAAATGTTCCTGTGTTCTGCCTTTGGTTTCCTCACAGTTATTCTTCAGCCTTTCATAAATGACATTATCAGCGCCCTTGCAATACAGCCGCAAATGTCCTTCCCGCCTCAATATCACCGACATTCGCTTTCTGACGTTATTAAAATCCAAAATACACAGCAGTTCGTACACTTCCTTCTTTCCCATCACTTCAATCGTGATGCTATTTGGCGATCGCTCCTTAAACACAAACCCAAAATTCCGCGCGGCTGATACCAGTGCCGACTCATCGGGCGACTGCGCTTGATACTCCAGTTTCCCACTGCTATTATCCGACATCACAGTGTGACACAGCGCAAGCAACCGAAAAAAGTTACACGCATCAGCGTCTTCCTTCTTAACAGCATCCAGCAGCGCTCGATCGTACCACCGAAATTCAGGTTCGTAATACGAATTAAAGCTAAAGTCAAGCGATGGCAAATCATCCGTGATTTCGACAACCTCACCGGTATTCTTGTCGATCACATCGCCATAAGTGAGACCAGCGATTGAACACTTGTTGAACGTCATGATGTTCTGCGTAAGCGTTCCCGTCTTATCAGAAAAAATGTATTCGATTTGACCCAGCTCCTCGTTGAGGGTGGTGGTGCGCGCCTTCGCGTGCGTGTTGGTTTTATCATGGTACATTTGCTCGTCCCAGTTTATAAGGAAACTCTGCACGAAGCGTATCACTTCGACCGATACATAGAGCGAGATCGGCACCACCGTATTGAGGACGATCGCATACGAGAAGAAGACCAGCAGTGCGATAATGGTGGCACCGCCGAGCGGCTCGGACGGCACCAGTGAATCCCACGGCAGGTACGCCTGAAAGTAGCGCCCGACGAGCGACTCCCAGATACCGCACGCCACCATGCAGAAAAGGCACATTGACAATAAAAAAAATACAATCTGAAATTTTAAAAATGTAAATATACAGGCAAACGGTGTATTTTCAACAACTTACCCCTATGATTAAAAAATTAAGTAGCCTATCTATACTAGTACGTTTGAATTTGGTCTTGCCGCTGTTTTGCATGAGCTTCGTGTCTTTGCCAGCAAAGATCACCACCCCGTAGCACCATTGTGTATTGCGCAGCACGCAACCGCGTAGAATAATCTTGTCGTTATCCAGACTGTACTGCCGATTCTTCCACGTGAGCGTGCCCTCGAACTTGTTGAGAAGATTGTTGGGCGTCTCGCAAATAATATCACCGTCGAACGCACTGATCAGCGCGTCATTCTGACCCATCTCGGCTGTTTCGGTCGTGCATTGTCTGCACTTTAAATTCGTCTCGCTGTACGCAACCAAAAAATCGATAGAAATTGTAATCAAACAATCAGATGGTAATTACCCGTCCAGTTCAGCCGTCTCGATGTAGCAGAGGCCGTTCGGCTCGCTCGACGACAGCAGCAGAATGTCAGCGGCCACAAACTGATTGTTGTCCATGCGAATAATGTCGCCCACTTGCACCGACGACCATCGCTCCTTCACCAACTGGCCGTTCTTCACTAGTTGTGATTTGCGATTGTTGACTTGTGAATCGGACATGTGACGTTGCTGCGTAAAACAGAAAAGAGAAGATAATCAACTACAGAGTAAAGATTACGATCATTTTATATGTTTGCGTGGCCGTGACCTATTTTTATACGATTGTTTTATATACAATAAGAGACTCAAAGAGATAAACAGAGTTTTCTTTAAATGGAAAATTTTTCTGTTGAATTTTCTGGCAGAATATTCAAAAATTAGCCATAAAAATGTAAAATTTTTAGTTTTCGGTGTTTTGCCGATTGATATCATGTAAAAGGTATATTTCCAAAAATAGATAAATACTATATTTAGTTACATATTTATTCAATACCAGGTTAGACGGTAAACAATGTATTTAGAAATCGTTTTCATGCAAAGTTGATAATTTTCCAAATAACAAAAGTATATTATACTTACAAAATCATCGTAGGCATCCTTGATTGCAGTGAGGCCCAACACGCCGATCAACGGCAAAGCAGTCGTAATCGGCGTGAGACTGCTGATCGCCGGAATTAGCTGTAAGACTAAAAGGCACAAGAAGTAGAAGTTGGCCAGCCGCTGAAACTGCTCGAAAAGATTCAGCGGAAGGAATGTCAGCACCGTGTACTTGGATGTCTTGATGTAGTTATTGGCGTAGCGAAATTGGGCATTGTACGAGCGATCGTTGGCTTTAATCCGTCTTTGATTATCTGGAAAGCAAGCAAAATCAATTCCAATTACAACCAAACACCACACACACTCTGGTAATGTTTAATAATAAATGTTGTGTTTTGTGTCGCATTTGTTTTCATTTGTGATTAGTGCACGAGAGCGTAATTACTGGCTTCGTCGTCATTGTTTGGCGGGCGCGTCGGAATCAAATTGTACGCGTATTCCATTTTATCGCGCTGTGGAATTCTGGGCGCGTAAACCGCGAGCACATCCTGCTGGAAAATCACTGCCGCCGATACTCGACATTTGTCGCGCAACGCCAAAAAAGAGTTTAGAAAACTGTTTAGCGCCCAGGCGCTAATTTACATGCTGTAGATGGTGTCGAACGCGCGCGTAATACGCGTTGAAATCTTGTGCACTGAATAATCAAGTGTCGAACTCGATCGGGATCGAGAACGCTATGTTTCTAATTGAAAATTAAAATTATCAGCGGCACGCGTTGCAGCCGTTTCTTGGCGCTATTGTTACCAGTTGCGTTGCGTCGAAATTTTCTATTGGTCGTAAAATCTGTGAACGACAGCCTTGAACTCGCATTAAAATTTGTTAACAATTTGAATGCTGATCGCATTCGATGTGAATGCGAGACGACGCAAGGCTTAGACGCATCATAAAGATGTAATAAAATCATCATCTAGATAAGATGAAGATAAATATTTTCAAATAAAATTGTTCATTTTATTGTTTTAGTCTTACCGAAACTGGCAAAAGATCTTCGTGCATCCCTAGCCCTAAAACTTTGACTGCTGTGCGTGCTGCGTTGCTGCGCGATGAAGGGCGATTCAGCCGCGACGTCCGGCACTGGCGTCCTGTAGCTGCGATCCCGCCAAACAAACACCCGCCCCAGCGCACCGAAAACCGACTCGCGTAATCCCTGCACGGCCGCCCCGCTACCGGCCCCGCTGACGATGCTCGTCTTGGAGCGCGAACGCGACTTATCGCTCGGATCCAGCACGACGCTGCAGCTCGCCTTCGGCTTGCACTTCCTGAGCAGTGGCGGCGGCGGCGCTGCCGCGTCTTCCTCCTCCTCATCGCCGCCGTGACCGTCTCCGTCGCGGTCGTACACTTCAAACACCTCCAGTTCGTAGTCCATGCCGCTGCTGATGGTCGCGCCCGCCGGCGAGCAGCGTTCATTTGTGCCGGCACCACCACCAGCGGGGCACGACTGCTGCTGCTGGTGCGGCTGAGCGATGATAGCACATTATAATATATTACTCGGCGGGCGGTCTCCTGCGATTACTCATCACGGACGAAGACGATCACCACGACGAACACACCGCACTGGTGGCACTGGGACGAGCGCGGGCGGCGCGCATCGGACGCGCATTCGCGGAGATTCCCACGAGCGGAATGTCGCTTTGACGTTTCGTATACATACATTTTTCACCTTAGTGTCTTATTACGCCAGCAGGAAAACCTGCAGGTGCGATGCCAGCGCGCCGAGGCGGCGACGGCGCTAACTTTCTATGTTTACTGCTGACTACCGCGAGATTGAGCTACGATTGCTGCTTAGAAAATGGGAAATGGAAAATTCATTCATTTTCTTCAAATATACTTAAACACGCAAATCATTAACGGTTTTAACTACAAAGTACGTACTCGTATATACATATATTACTATTTTACGTAAGGCATACTTTGTTTAAAGCTTTTGTTCTGATTTTTACTGTTTTGCACCTGAAAATCTTCAAATTTTGAAGTTTTTTCGTAATTTAAAACAAAAACCTTCAAATACGAAATGAAAATGAATTAAAACCACTCAAAATTATTGATTTACAAAGTTTTAATGTCAAACCAACAAACTTTTCCCAAACATTCGATCCAGTTACTTGTTTACGAAATAATTAATCGCGAGACAAGTTTTTCCCAACACCTGGAAGCCAGTAAATGTCCCCCAGGTAAATAATTAAAGCAAACCATGTGTGTTTCAGCATAAAATCACATTTTAACACAACTTAAAAGTATTGTGATGTTTTTTAATCTAATTTATTGTGTGTTAAAGATTAGTTAATGAACTCACCGTGAATTAGCGTTCTCCGTCGGCTCATAAAAGACGCCCTGTCCATGATTCCAAGATGGCGTCGCACTCCGATGAAATGTAATCAGTCGCCGGTTTTCAATTAACCGTAGTTTGTCTCCTAGTCAATTAGTTTTTCGTAAGTCGTAATTGAATTGTAATGTTAAGTAGTAACAAATATGCTCGTATCTTGTATCACTCGTCGATATGTATATAAATGTGCTCGTGTTTGCATTTAAAAAATTAAGCTCTCTTTAAATCCTACGCTTGTATTAAATAGTTCAATAAATAAATGGCAAGGTGTCTGCGTGATCCCTGATGTGGAGTTGTTCGTCAAATCGGCAACTTTTGATATAAGATGGGAATGTGTTTTAGTTGGGGTCCCAGTGTGTTGCAGGTTTGTTTTCGTAAGGACACTTTGAATTAAATCAAATATGGTATGTACTCGTATTTAAGGCCACTCGTTGTTTATGTTTATGTTTTCCTCGCTTCGTTGATGGAAATCAATTATTTCCTGATATAGATTTCGAAATTGCTTTGAGGTAGTTGTAAATTTCGTATTACAATTTGTGTAAAATGTGTTTGTGTGGATGGTAGATTTCGTTAGTTTAAAATTGGTTTTGTTTTGTTTGGACGCGATTCTTTTTTGGTTTTTGATTAATTGCGTTGCAGTTAGCGCTGCTGACTTCTCGCCCTTCGATCTCTTCGGCGACCCACTGGCAAGAACAGGCGACTAGTGCCAGTCGACGAGGAACGCCCAGCCATTGACTAAAGCTGAAACAATAAAATTAAATAAAAATTAAAGAATTTCAAATAATCCCTACTAATATTATAAATGCGAAAGTCCTGATGTTTGTTACACTTTCACGCCAAAACTACTTAACCGATCTTCATGAAAACTTGTACACATATTCTTAGTGGTCCCCGAATGGTTATAGGCTACTTTTTATTTAATAAAAAAAATTATTTTTTAAATAAAATAAAGAAATTGTTTAGCCAATAATACCTCTGCATCTGGCTATTTGACTACTTTAACGCCATCTAGCATTCCAGCAATGAAGCTCAAACCTAAGTACTATAGTACCATCACACTGTATTATCACACTGTATTACCGACAGCTACGTCAACATCAAATCCAATTGACTACACTATGGAGACTGTACACTATACTTCCATAGACTATACTTTCAGCCATTTTAAACTTCCCGCCATTCTACTTCATTGTTACTTCTTCTGTGACTACAGACGCGTACGGAAGCAACTTCATTATTTTAGATATTCGCGAGCGAAGCCGCGGGTTAAAGCTAGTAAGTGATAAAACGCTCAAAATTAAACTTTTGTGTAGTTTTTTTCTCTTTACACACTAGAACAGAAGTTGCTACACTGGTGGCAAACAAAAAACACTTTGACTTTGTACTAGTCACTCAATTTATATAAGAGAAAAAAAAGCAAAAAGTTTAAACTTGTAATTTGAATAACAAATAGAAATTTACGCACTATCGATTCAGGAAAAAAACCGCTGTCATGTTATTAACACATAAATAATTTCCCATTTTAATATCAGATATTTTGTGAATATTTAACCATAAACGATGCGCCATACCTTGCATAAGCCACGCCCCATTCACACGAACACGTCAATCAGGTGCAATTTCTCTCACATGTGCGGAAAATCGACAAACATGTGCCTACATAATTAATTCATACAACAAAAAGGCCAACGTTGATTACCCGAACAAATTGTAAAGTTCACATCCTCAAAAATTATTTAATTACTAGATGTAAGTGTAATTACACGCGGGTTTTCTAGCCGGCCATTTTGCAAACTTGTAATTACGGAAAAGTTGAAAAGCGGGCTTATGAGCAACACACAATCGAGCATAAAACATAAAGCATGATGTGTACTAGAAGTGGCGCGTTATCAATGCCGCACTTGAAACATAAAACTTGAAAAATAATTCAATGTCGACACTCACTTAGACAAGACATGAGATAGATACAAACAAGCAGCGGTGGAGCACTCGTGTGGGTTTGATCATACGTTATTAATTCGTTTACGTCGGCGCTTTCCACAAACTGGACAAAGAACGAGAACAAATCGACCAGAGCTTTTCAATTTACACTTTTGAAAATCGATAGGAATAGGAAATTTTCAATTATGTATATTGAAAGTAAAATTATTAATTTCGATTATTTCAAACAAATATTCCAATTTTTTTATTTCAAGAGGCAAATGAATAGAAATTATTTTTTCTACTTCCACCTTTAAATCGTCTGTTTTTTCATGATTTTGATATACAAAAAGTGGTACTTTAGTCACGAACGGCCAAAGACGTGACTAAAGTACTTTAGTCACGGGGTGGAGCTTAGGGTTGCGTATTTGCAATTTCATGACAAAAACTTTCGGTATCCACTTGATAACAAGTAAAATCAAAAAACGGCCGAAACCGTGACTAAAGTAATAAAGTGATATAAAGTGCATTATTGGCATATCTCATTTCTTTAAAATAATATTAAGAGTCTTAATGACTGATTGAGAACATAATAGGTCCAAAAACACCGCAAAAATTAATTAAAATTAAATAATTTCCAACTTCAAAATCCAACATTATAGTAACTTTTGCAGTTTCATAAAAATACTAAAAATCCTAACCTAATCTAACCATTTCCATCTAGAATGCCGTGTACAAGCACAACCTGCATTTAAATAATTAAAGAACACATTTTATTATTAATAAGCCTACTAATTAATAGATAAACTACCTTACATCAATGTATCAACAGTGATACAGAATATTATAATTAATTAATGCCCGTGTGCAATATGTGGAACATGAAGCAGAATTTCAAGGTCTCCTTTGATCATCTGACACACATCAACATTTTTATCGCTCGTCAAAGACCAATAAATCATAATCATAAAAATATTGAAATTGAAAGCAAACAAATAATAATACCCAAGGAGACAGGTATAAAAAGCAGATGATAAAAATTGAAACAAATCGCAATCAATAAATTCACCACACATAATTTTATAATGTATCAGCTCACATAGCCATCGCGCCCGCTGCCGGAATGTATAATGAATGTAATTGTAATCAGCATCGATTACAAGAGCGACGTGTCCTGCGTCCATACAAAATGTTCGTTTCTCGCGTTTTAGATACGCGCTTTAAATAATTTATCACGGCGGCATTAGCCAGTCCGTCTGGCGGATGTATTACTGCATTGTACATGAGCAACGACTAATTTACCCGGGTGAGTTAATCGGTTATTGTCTTCGTGTACAGACATTAAGCTCGGGAAGGGGTTGGTTAATTATTATGCATGCAATTATTCATTCATCAAATATTTAAACAAAAGTGACAGTCTATTTTAAAAATACGAATTTCTGTATGAGAAGATTCATTAAACCATAATAACGTAATCTAACCTCAAAAATAAAATAAAATAAACAGTAAGGTACGAGAAATAAATATGCATTTCATGTGTTTTCATAATACATCGAAATTTTGTCCACAATTGTGCAGATTTTAATAATAAAATATATAATTATTTGCAATTTTGTTTTAAATAAATAAGAATTACTTATAATTGACTTTAGCGCCATCTATAACTGAATTATTCATCTAAAACTATCATTAAATCTCCATAGAAATTTTCATCCCTTATTTAACACCCTATAAATGATAATTTCCAATATTTTAATAGTTATTCTGCTATTCAATGCCAAGACAAATCTAATAAATCATAAATTATCAAAATCTGTTCAGTCGTTCTTGAGTTATAAACGTTGTAACTAACACTACTTTTTTTAAATGATACCTACTCGTAGATAATATTAGTACGTCATTGTATACTTGTACTTGAAGGTCCAAAAACCAATTAACACCTATCAATTTAAAAAAATTGTTTCATTTGTGTCAACCAACCCAATTCCAAACAAAGTCGGCCAAAGATCAAACCTAAACTATGATTCTCCTACATAGCAATTGTATGATCAATTAGTAATGCCCATAAATCTTTTCATTGCGTTATGATTTCACCAAAGCAAACTTCAAACAAACATTCATAACATACTCATACTCATACTCATCCACGAGAATAGAAAGCCATAAATAATTATCAAATATAATTAATGCAGGTAGTGCAATGAATTCAACATCCTCAATGCCAATTGATAAATATTTGGTAATCATGTTTTCATGTTGTTAATTGCAACAAGCGAAAATGTGTGTTGCTGGTTTTAACATTCAGTGTTTTTGTCAAAGTACCGATAAGAATAATTTGCATATTTTTACGCGAAATCGTATGTATTACTCGTAATTGTCACCCGCGGCTTTCTATTGTTTATTGTGGTAGTGGTGGCCCATTGTTGAATTACTAACGCGAATAGTGATAAGCTGTGAATTACAGAATTAGTCAATAGTCAATAGTTAAGGTTGAATTTAAAAATTTATGTGAAAAAATATTTATAAAATAACAAAAATATCTAGTAACTTTAAACAACGATGAAAGAAAAATAAACCTGTGCGTGGTGCACGTGTTTTGATGGCTAAATTGATCTGGTTTACTTCGGAGTAAACAATATTGCAAACGCGGTGTAAGCACTACGCATAATATAATAAAATATAATATTATCATGATGTAGTTGGTTTTACAGGAAAAAAAATAAAGTGTAAATGTACGCAATGTAACCTCGGTGACTGAGTAAATATAATACAAAACATTATCTAAGTCTAAGTAGTGATCTCTATAAAACAATGACGAGATTATTTACTAAAGTCTAACGTCATCAATTATAGAAAATGTTAATATAAATATTTTTTTTGTCTTTCCACTTATAAAGCGTCAAGTTTTCCACGGTTTTTAGACTCAAAAAGTCGTATTTTAAACTTTAGTCACGGGCTTTAGTCACGGGGTGGAGTTTGCGCTTACGCAGTTGCCTACAGTGCACAATTTTCTGATTTTACTTGCCGTAAAGTAAAAATAAATAATCTCTATCTATATTTTTCTTATTGATTGAAATGTTTTTTTCGCTTTGCATCCAATACTGATTATTATATTAAAACAATCCAAATGTAGCACAATCATCATTGTGCCTTTCACACACTCCCACCAAACCTAATTATTAATACCTGCCTTTCTAGAATATACAACACTCATCGCCATATTCCCGATATTCTCTATTCTATAACATGCAACATTCAATAAATTTATACTCCACTGCCACACATCTATAAAGAATATATTCCACCCTCATTCCGCGATGAGACACGTAACATGTGCTGCAAAACACACACACATACAACCACCTTACAAATAAAAAAAAAGAACTAAGAACAAACACGTTACATCTGTTTATCTATTTCGTCCTATAATTTGCCTACTTTCAATACATCACAGCATGGGAATCTCGCCGCGAACCCAAGCAAAGAAAAGATAAAACAGAGTTTAAGGTGAAATGCTTGTATACAAGTATATCACCGACAGGGTGATGTCTACAAGTAATACACGGGGACAAACGAATGATTAGAAAAGTGTCCGCCGACATGGATTATTCATGCTTGTGGTGAGAACGACGTCCAGCTGGCAATAGCAACGACGCGCGTCGTCGACCCCCAACCCATGTTTGACTTCTTTACTTTTTATTATTTATTTATTATTCAAAGCACTAATTATTTGAACGAAGACCAGAAGATGTTTAATTGACTTAATTATCCATTTTCATCACATCAATATTTTGCAGGAATGATGAATGTTTTAAGTGTAA